CACACACACACACACACACACACACACACACACACACACACACACACACACACACACATACATACATATGCACGCATAAGCATAGGCTCCCTCCCTTTTCTCCACTCTTTCCAATTATCCGTCCCTGCTTCGTCCTCATGTGCGGCCGATGTGGCACTTCATGATGTATCTCAGGCCCCACCGCTTTGGACATGAGCCCAGTCTCAAAATCAAGCATTCCTCTCACGCAACTTGGCATGCTCCAATCAGGCTGTCCATGTGTCGCAGCAGAAAACAAGCAATTTTCTTCCCTACCTTCACCACCAACCCCAACCCATCACAAGGTGGAAGCCCAATCATTGATTTCTCAACACCGCATCTTGTTCATCATTTCTTGCTCCCAATGATTTCGAGACTGCAGATGGTTCATGTAGAAACTGCAGAGCGTTTGGCCTGGACCCACAGCCCTCTCAGTGTCACACTCGTCGCAGTATACCTTGACTATGTCCTCCCCACCCTCGTGCCCAACTATGATGTGGAAGCGGTCAGTGCGGTTCTCGGCTCTCAACTTCTCCCTGAGCGATTCCGCAATGATCTCCCAGTACCGTAGCGGGTCATTACACATGAGCGCAGTTCGTGGATGTCTGCAATGACAGTGGCAAAGTGAGTGGCACTGATGATCTGACCATGGCTTTGAGATGGAAAATGTAGGTGAACTTGCACGTCGAGGGGGACTCTTCGAACCCTTCTGAGGCTTGGGCCCCTTTGGGCCAAGATTAGACGGCGTGGGACAGTCGTACGCAGCAATTTTCTCACCATCCACCCTGCCCTTCCCTTCATAATAATACATCCCTCCATCATCCTTAAACTTGGGCTTCTTCGGCTCGCCACCACCATCCTTCGGTTTACCCCCCACCTCCTTGCCTTTTTCCTTTTCTTTTCCAGCCCCTCTAGGATTGTCTTTTCCTACGCCTTTGGTCGTCCCTGGTTTCTCAGCCTTACCTTCCCCACTCGGTCCCCCACCTCCTCCACCAGGTCGCAAGAGCAATCCTCCCCTTGTACACCTAAACAATGCCTCCTGCGCCGTGTTCAAAACAGACGCCTTTCCATCCTTCTGCACAACGAACACAAAGGGATCTCTCCACACATTCTGAACCACAATCTGCAACCGAGCCTCGTAGAAGGTTGCCTCGGGACGGACGAAAACTGGATGTTTCAGAAAAATGATACCTCCAGGGCCTTCAATCCTCACATCAATTGGCACACAGGGATCAATTTCCGCCATGTCCTCGTTATGTCCTCGTTAACTTGCTTCCCACACCCTTTGCTTTGAAATTCTCCTTTGCCCTGAGACTTTCAAGAGACCTCTCTTCCACTGAATCCAATCTTGTTCCTCCAACCTGAAGTTAATGTCAACAGCCAAAAGCGCAAATAGTTGTAGAAGAAATGTGCACAAATCTTTTTTTTTTTAAGTTTTTTTCCTTCTTCTTTTCAATCACAGCTCATGACGGTGGGCAAAGTTCACTCTTACTATACCACTTTCGTAGTAGCGCAAAACACTGCCAACAGGCAAAAGTACTTCTACAGATAGCAATATCATTTGCAAAACTACGCCAGCATGGCAAGAGACCTCTCTTCCGCTGAATCCAATCTAGTTCCTCCAACCTGAGGTTAATGTCAATAGCCAAAAGCGCAAATAGTTGTAGAAGAAATGTGCACAAATCTTTTTTTGAAAGTTTTTTCCTTCTTCTTTTCAATCACAGCTCATGCCTGTGGGCAAAGTTCACTCTTACTATACCACTTTCGTAGTAGCACAAAACACTGCCAACAGGCAAAAGTACTTCTACAGATAGCAAGATCATTTGCAAAAACTACTCCAGCATGACACAGATTTTTGTTTTCATCAATAATTTCAGTGCCTGATTACTTTTTGCGCGTAACTATCATGGCTCTTTATGTATGAATCTTCTCTTTCTCTTGCAGATGGTTCCATTTTGCCTTTACCCTTTTGGGTGTAACCCGTACCTCCCACTTCTTTGATACCCACGTGGCCTACATGTTCTTTTTTTTTTTTTTTGGGGACAAATGCTCCAGTCTATTCGTGGGGAGCAACACGTGCTCGGAACCGGGCCCAGCATCCCGTATAGAAATATACAAATGATTTGAAGTGCCAAGGCCATTACCTGGCTTCGGCTAAGAACAATCTGAGAACTATGAAAAGAGTTCAGAAAAAATTAAGAAAAACACTGGATAGCGGCTAACCTGCCAACCTATTACTAGGCCACTCAAGCAGCAATTAGTGGGAGTCCTTCAAAAGCTCAGAACCCCTGGGAGCCCCCCACAAAAACACTCTAAAATTCTCTAATACTGTCTTCTTCCCTGCCGAGCTCTCCCAGGCCTCATGCCCCCACCCTGCTAGGTT